TGATTGTGATGATTGAATGAATGAATGAATGATTGAATGAATGATTGATTGAATGAATGAATGATTTGATGATTGATTGAATGGATGGTTAAGATGAATTACTAAAGGAATTAATGATTCGGACGACTGTTTACGATGATCAAGACGAAATGATTAAATCGCAGCCTGCAAAGTGTACCTCATTGATTCAAGACTCTAATACAATTACTCAGTAATAAAAATTAAACAGGTCATTTGGTTAAAATACACGCAAACGTTCACTACGCAGCCCCATCGAGATATTTTAAATATCCAGTCTGATGAACCTCCTTGTTTTTGCGAGTTTTAGGTTGAGCCAGTTAAATTTTTTGAAATTGGGCTAAATAAATTCAACTGACTGATTGAAACTCCTCAATTTCATCAGTTCCTCTGGGTGTCTGGCCACAGTGGCGAATCTAGACAACTTTGACGGGAGGATTTAAATTTTTACAGGGGTGGAAAGCAAAATTTGTGATAGTGTGACTAAAACTAGGCTACATTTTATTATTTTTGGTCGATAATTTTCCACATTAAACTCTAGTTTTTTCTGTGCAAAAACTGAGTTTTAATGATTTTCAATAAAAATACTGTTCACGACGGGGATGGCCCTCGCCCCCCACATCCGCCACTGGCTGGCCAGATGGAAAATTAATTTTTCTTGTAGGTCTGTGGTGTTGTATTCACATTACATACATTATTTGCGTATTATTTGCGTCTGGATAGTTTTTCTTTAAAATAATTTAAAGATTTATGATAATTCTTGAGCAGTTTCTCATGTCTGTTTTTTTCAATTTTCTAAATGGACATTTTCGTGCTAAATCATTTCCACACGGAAATTGAATTCCAGAAAAAATTTGAAACAGAAATGTTTAATACATTGAAATGACTTTTAAAAATGTCATTAAACCTCATTTTAATTAATAAAGTCATAATTTTTTATGGCTAAAACGAGTGAGTAACTATTTATGTAATTTTTTCGGGAACACAAAATCTCTAAAATCGATAGAGTTGTCGGCATTTTTTGTTGCAACTTACCACAAAACTACATGGCTTTTAAGAACTGAGCAAGCAATCTGATATGGGAAGTGCAAACAGAGGGTAGGCATGCGTTGGACATGTAATAAGGCATGTCAGTTCCCTTTATACGCAGCTGACCTAACGGCTAGATGGAGCAATTAAAGGCAACAAAATGCTTTTAAACTCATTCATTTAATTATTGAGTAACGAACACGTGTACTGTGCATCTAAGTATCTGGGTCTTTACAATAAAAACATACTTAGGCCTCTTATTGCAAATCTCTAATGCAGTTCCAATCCATTTGTTATTCGGAGGAAGTGCACATAAGCATGCATATTTATTTTCTGCTGGACGACTGCTAACTCAATTAGGCCCTGCATGTTTTGTAATGTAAGATGCGCGCCTCCAGTCTTCAATTTAATATCACAAAGTAGCGTAATGAAGAAAGAATTGTAACAATTCTTTTGCTGCATAGCTGAAAACAACAGCAACAACAGTAACTACAACAATAACAACAACAACAACAACAATAACAACAACAAAACTAAAACATACAACATAGACGGGTATTATATTAATTCAATATTTTCATGGTTGCCGGTAGTAATACAATTCATAGCGTTACTACATCACGTTCAAATTTTATCAGCGCGCCTATTCAATGTAACCAACGATTAAAAATTAAAATATATAATTAATTAACTTAGAAATAAATTAAAATTCTTTTTTAGGATCCTTACATTTCTGGATATAATAATTTTATTATTAAAGTTATAAATTAGGATAATACTGATGGAAATTATCTTGCTATTGCGCTCAATATTCAAGGCGTGCTTATAATTGACTTATTGCCAAACGTCATTCCTTGCCTCTATGTTAAGATAGAGTGGTGCTATAGAAAATTATAAAGAGGACCTGAAAACTAATAACCGTGGTTGATATTTAAAAACATTACGAAAAGAATATTTTGTCGTTAGTTTAATTTTTTTATCTTTGGTTACAATTCATAGTGCGTCGCAATTGAACGTGGGTTTTTTGAAAATTTAAACAAATTAAATTTCAAATCACACTGAAAATATTTTCTTCGTTAATTTCTGGATTTCTGGAGATTTTTAATTGAATGAATTTCCAATATTAATTCATTCTCAATTTTTCATTCCAGAGTAACTACAAAACGCTTCCACGTGACTGAACCTAGATTGGAATGGAAATGTTAGCATACGCATGTGCAGTTGCAAAAGAAATGTTGTTGGCTTCTGTTGTTTTTCTGCTTCTTGTTAGTCCGGGTTCATCTGCTCCCATCAAATTATGTTTATTCATGCAGTGGGAATTTGTTTACAGTTGAAAAAAATAAATAAATACACATAACCCGAGCATACCGTAATGTACAAGAGTCACGTGACTAATTTTGGAAACAGGAAGTGACGTTTCGGAAGAAGTTGGAGTTGTTGTTGGTCTGATACCTGGGGTGTTTTAAATGTGGCGAGCTATTTTTTCTACTTCTATTTTTTGTTAAAAATTAACGTTAATTATTTTATTGCTAATAGATTTGTTACGAGAAACATTTATTCGGCACAATATTTATATTTAATATGAAAATCTGTTGAAATGTGAGAAAAGTAAATGTTTGAAATAACGTGGTGGGATGATACATCTTGGCGCAGTCTGGTCCCACGCTCCGTCCATGCAACGTAATGTCCTCGTTGCCGCCGCTGCTGCTGCTGCTGCTGATGATGATGATGATGTCGGTGATGATGATGATGTCGATGATAATGACGATGACGGTGATGAAAAATAAGATAATGATGATGAAGAGGAGAAGGAAGAGGAAGTTGATGGCGATGATGCTTTTGCACTCAGTGAGGAAGATGACACCCATGCATCGTCATCGAACGTCGTGCCATTTAAACAGGTTATGTTGGCTCTCAGTTCATTGTGCCGATAGTAGTAAATGGTTTTGGCGTTTTTTACAAATTCGTTGTTGAGGTTGCTGTTGTATTCGTTGTTGAGAATGACATTATCGTCGTTGTTGTTGTTGTTATAGTCATGGAAGTTGTTGTTACTGACACTGTTGATGATGACGTCATGAAAAAATAATTCGTCACACTTTGGACCGATGGCTGTAATGTGTTGGAATCAATTGTGAAGGATGTGGTGCTGAATGGTCTGATTTGAAAAATTAAGCAATTTAATTTACAGACGTCAACAAAACAGGGAAAATTTTCGTCGTCACAACAATTTTTTTTTAAAAAACAAAATAAACGCTTGCAATTAATCTTCTGTCATATAATGCTACTAAAAAAATTAATTAAAAATAACTAAAAAAATAATAACATTTAATTTTTTATTTTAAAATATAGAATTATTAACATTTATTAGCGAACATGTACTGCCTACCTCATTGCAACCAAAACAAAATAGTGCCAAACAGAGCCTGGTGATTAATTAGAAAGACACCCCCACAAAAATGAAACAGCAACAACAACACACCAACAACACCAGTATATACAACAACGTCGTTAATAATGTTAGCAAAATCAAGAAGGGTAACATGTCAGCAGAGAAGCAGGAAAAAGAGAGGCAATAATGAAAATAAGAAGAGTGACACGGTGATTTATTAGGCACAATAAATCGGCTCACGACTCATTTGAATAGAGGAGCCCCGGGCAGCTGTTGCACATGTCACACCGTAGTAGGTTGTGGCCCGTCGTGGTACATTGTGGTATGTTTTGGTGCATTGTGGCATGTTTTGGCACATTGTGGCATGTTTTTGGCACATTGTGGCATGTTTTGGCACATTGTGGCATTTTGTGGTACATTGCAGCTTGTTATGGTATGTGGTAATATAAAATAACGTGCAATAATTGGATGTTGTTACATTGGCAAAATGTGGTCTTGTGTTGTACGGTCTTGTGCTATGTGGTACAATGGTGTATAATTTGGCGTTGTGTGGTACGCTATGGTATAACATGGTAAGATGTGTTCTAATATGGATGAACTATTTGGTTTCTGCTATGTGGATCAGCCCCCAAATCTCAAATGATTATAATATTCTGTGCCACAACGGCTGCAACATCGCAATAGACTCGATCAACGCAACATACGAAAAGCGCAAAAAAATTTGGTTTTTGAACAGAGAGCATTTGAACCAGGTTTGTGTGCAATGATGTGAAACATGGGACACAAAACAAATTTTGCTGAATTAATAATGTGAAGTGAACGTATGTTATAGTTATAATGAAGTATATAAATGAGACCTGAAATTGCATGTGAGATATGTGAAGTGTTGTGGTGTATTGTAGTATGTTGTGGTCTGTTGTGACTTGTTGTGATGTGTTGTAGTATGTCGTGGTGTGCTGTGGTATGTTTTAGTGTGTTGTGGCGTGTTGTGGTGTGTTGTGGCGTGTTGCGGCGTGTTGTGATGTGTTGTGTGGTATGTTGTGGTGTTTGATGTGCTATGACAAAACGCAATTGCGGTCAATTAAGTATGTCAACATGGTGTTGGGCTTATGTGAAAATATTAGTTAGAATTGTACTATTATTTGTGGCTCTTGTCATGCTGCTGTTGTTGACGTTGTCGTCGTTTTAGATTGCTTCTTATTGTCGCTATTGTCCTGCATGACTCTGACTGACTGGATGGCTGACCTGTTGTTGTGAGTCTGGAAGTGTTATCAACTCTGGGCTATTTCTTTAATGTTGTTGATATTGTTATGCTATGACACTGCCGTTGTAATGTTTTTCTGTCTGTTTTTGGCAGTGAATAAAATTTTATTAGTGCTGCTCGTTCATGTCTAGTGATACAAAAAACTGAAGGCTTAGCCACTAATAACTTGGTTAGCCACTAATAACTTGAATGTTGATGGAGATAAGGGAGATGATGCTTCTTTCAACGTTTTGCACATCTGGACACCTTAGTTCGCTGGTTAGGGTTAGGGTTAGAGCCTAATATTTGGCGTCATTAACAGTAGAGATGGCATTTCAAGCACTTCATTTTCATAATTTATTGATTTCATATAAATTAACACCGTTGCAAGTTATAACGATGATGATGACAATGATGCTGGAGATGATATTAATATTATTTTCACTATTGTTAAGGATGATAATGATAATAACAATAATATAATAATAATAATTATAAGATTATATTAATAAGATTATTGCTGTACAACTAAAACAAAAAAATTGTTGGAAAAATTATGGGGAACACAAATATGTTTTTAGAATTTGGTTTTAATAAATATTTTAAATTTAGTAGTTTAATTTTCATAATTTTAATCTTAAATCCATTTAACTCTGTACGTGCAACATTATGTCCGCATTGTTTTAAAGATTTTAGGTTTGTAAACAGACATTCCTGGCGTTGTACAAATATACGTTCAAACTCCAACTTAAATATTTCACCTAACAGTAACATTGACATTTTTCCAAATTTACTAACAATTAATAATAACAATATTTTACCGGATAATTCAAATAATTTGCTGTCATGTTGTTGTGGAAAGTCATGCAAAGGACGAAAAGGACTGTCAATGCATCAGAGATCATGAAAAATTTACAAATCTCTCAAGCCAGTAACTCAGGAAGATGAATCAAACGACAGCGACGCAACCAGCCAGCCAATATTTCAACACACGTCAACTTCAACATCTACTCCAAAGCCAATACCCGGAATAAAATTGCCCAAATCATCAACTCAGTGGTCTGAGGCCAACCCATTCTTTCAGCTGGAATTTAGATGTCTAGACGCTATCACAGATATCGACAGTTTCGCTAACGGGTTCCAAGAGGCAATCTATTCATATTTTGCTGCCAACTGTGGCACTTTAAAAATGAAATCAAAACCTGTTGAGCACATAAATCGTGATATTAGGCGTTTAAAAACAAAATTGAGAAATTTAAAATCGTTGGCTCAGATCGACACTCAATTCAACAATGAAATACGTATGCTGAGCAAACAGATTAGAGCAATACTAAAAACCAATAAAATACTAAAAAATGATAACAACAACATTTCTTCTCAACTGAAGAAAAACTTTTGGAAAACATGTAAAAACATCTTTTCAAACTCAACTTCGCAGTCTCCACACCTCAGCATCGAAGCTGCCACCAATTTCTTCAAAAACACCTTGAACGCTGGCGATCGCACAACGTTTCGCATTCCTAATTGTATTAATTCACTTCCTGCTCCTTCATTCCAAAGTAATTTGGATCCGCCATCTTATAAAGAAATTACAACAGTTATTCGTAGAAGTAAAGCAAATGCATCTCCATGTCCACTGGACCAAATCTCAATTATTGCCCTCAGCCCAATAATAGGGACGTATCTACATAAATTGTTAGTAATGTGTTGGCGCTCAACAACAATTCCACAATGTTGGCGTAGGGGGCTAACAGTTTTAATCTACAAAAAGGTGATGCAAGCGACCCAGCAAATTTTCGGCCGATCACACTGCAACCGGTACTCTACAAAATTTTTTCAGCTCTCATAAAATCCACACAAAAACAATTTCATCAACAAAAATATTCAGAAGAGATTCTATCCAACGATTGATGGGCTAGCCGAACCTACACAAATGCTATCCCATCTGTTAAAAAATGCTAAACGACATCAGCGCACTATTGTTGTCGCATTGTTGAATCTGAGAAATGCTTTTGGAAAAGTAAATCACAACTTCATCACTTCAATTCTAGAATATCATCATGTTCCCCAATCACTTCATAAATTAATATCATCAATATATTCCGACTACTCAATATCAATCAACGGTGAACTCACGTAAGCAATACCAGTTAGGAAAGGGGTGCTTCAAGGCGACCCATGTTCACCATTACTCTTCAATATTTGCTTCAATCCACTCATGAAAATTCTAGACAGTCAAGAATACAAACAATATGGCTATCTGTGGGGCCCAACTTCCGACTTAAACGCTAGATCATGGCTACAATTCGCTGACTACTCAGCAATCATAGCACATAGCTCAGAAGGCGCACAAAAACTTGTTGATTTAAACCAAGCTTGGTGCAATTGGTCAGAGATGAAGATGAGAGTCGATAAATGTTGTTCGTTTGGAATGAGGAAGAAAGATGGTACTTATGAGCAATTTCTGCCAAGATTGACGATCGACGATGTGGCAATCCCTAACGTAGAGATTGGCCAAGCGTTTACATACCTTGGTAAACTGTATGATTTCGAATGCAACGACCTCAAAGCAAAAACTCTGATACAAGCTAAGGTTGTTCAACTGTTGGAAACGACTTCAAAGTTGAAAGTGGATCCACAGCAAAAACTACAAATTTTAAGAAAATTTATACCGTCTCAATTGAACTTTGAACTCCGCAGCTACAACTTTTCATTAAAAGATGCGACAGAAAAAATGAGACTGAAACTTCGGAACTATTTTAAAACTAATAGCAACAAAGAGATTCAATGTCTTTATAAAGAATCAGCGATCGATTTTATCAAAGTAGATAATACGCTCTTAAAATACGGCCAAATAAAGTCGTCGCTTAGTCATTTGGAAGAAAAAAAAAATTGAATGTAGCTTAAATCATGTTTTCTCGCTGCAGAGTCAAGGTTCACTAATTTTACATATAAAAAATTTCATCAAAGCCAACAACATATCCCGTTGGTCAAAGTCCACGGAAAATCTTGCCGGAGTCCTCTACAAATTTGCTAGGAAGTATTTAGTCCAGCAGTTGCCTACTAAGGCAAATTTGTTTAGATGGGGTAAAACGCAAAGCCCTCAATGCCCTCTCTGTGATTCTCGACAGACAAATAAGCACGTAGTTTCCAATTGTGGTTCTACATCCGCTCTGGCAAGATATACCGAAAGACACAACAAGATATTGGCCGTGATCATCAATTGGCTGAAAATATCCACTCCAGCCAATTGCCGCATATTTTCAGATTTAGAGTCTGAGGGTATTCGCTCAATATCTCAATTATTCAACACTTTACGACCCGATATCGTCATACTTCAAAATAACAAAATTGAGATTCTAGAATTAACTGTGTGCCATGATACCAATCTAGAATCCTCCAGGCAATACAAGAGAAATAAATATTCTAATAATTTGCATTGTTGTTTAAATAAAGACTATGAACATTGTTCAATAGTTATAAACTCATTCGAAATAACGCCCATTGGTTTTTACAATAATTTTAATTTGTCACTGTTTAAAGTTCCATGGGCGCTATCATTTAATGATAAATTGATAAACACTGTTATAAGATTATCGTATGACATTTACTGTGACAGGAACAAGCTATGATGCTAATTAAATATATTTCACCGTTCTGCACTTAACTTCACAATGAGCAAAATGGTCTTAACCTTTAATATTCTTTTATACAATTTTTAAAAATTTTATCATTATATATATTTTTTTTATCTATATATATATATATATATTTTTATCATTGTCTGTTTTTTTATGGTGAAAAATAAAAGATGTTCCCATTATTATATAAATAAAGAGAACGCTCTTGAACCACAAAAATGATCCAGACAGAATAGAAAAAGGACGCACAATGAGACGATGATTCATTCGACGAAAAGAACTTGTTTTCGTTTTCATCACCATCATCATCATCATATTGTCGTCGTCATCATTATCATTATTTTTATTATTATTAAAAAAATTATTCCAACCATTATTATTACTTATAATAATGATTGGTTGGGGTCAGATTAATATTGATAATATTAAAGTGAATATTACTACTAGCAGTGCGCCTGTGATGAATGCGAGCGGCTAATAAGAGTACTAATGCGATGAATTGTGGCTCTGGCCGTTTATGTTGTTTATGTTGGTGCGTGTATGTGTTTGTGTGTGCGTGCGTGTTTTGTACGGTTTTTTTGTGTTAGTATGTGTGTGTGTGTTTAGGTTAGTGTGTGTGTTTGTGTTAGTATGTTTGTGTTAGTATGTTTGTGTGTTCAGGTTAGTGTGTGTTTGTTTGTGTGTATGTTTATGTCAGTATTAATGTGTTTGTGTGTTGGTGCATGTTTGTTTGTTTTGTTTGTGTTAGAGTGTGTGTGTGGGTGTGTGTGTGGTTTCTGTTAGTGCGTGCGTGCGTGCGTGTGTGTGTGTGTGTGGTTTCTGTTAGTGCGTGTGTGTTAGTGTGTATGTATTTGTTTTGTTCAAGTTACTCTGTGTTTGTGGGGTTTTTTTCTTGTTCTTGTTAATATAAGTATTTGGGTTGTTTACGACGTGTGTTTGTGTTGTTGTACAAAACAACAACAAACTATCTTAACAACAAATTTACAACGAAACGAATAGTAACATTATTATCATTATCAACAAAAATATTTCTATTGCTCGAAATATTTTGGTTGTTTTTACAACGAGCAAGAATGATGATAACATTAACTGATAACAAATAAATTACATTATGATGACAAGATAACAAAATCACATCAACAGATCACATGTGCTTATTCAATGATAAAGTAATAAGTAAGTGATGACATTAACTCCGTCCATAACTTCAACCACATTATTGATGGTATTGAAATGTTGTATGGGACATGTTTAATGACATTAATTTCATAAATAGATCGTTAAATTATCTCCCGACACGCTGACAATGATGAATGACGCGTTGAATAATAATATTATTGATGATGATGATAATTATGATGATGATCATGATGATGATGATATTGTTGATAGTGGTGTTGGTAACGATGATGATGATGACAACGACCATGATGATGATGACGATGACAACGACTATGATGATGTTGATGATGATGATGACGACGACGATGATGATGAAATTGACAACGATAAATTTGATGACAGAGAGGTGAATGATGATGATGATGGTGAGGCAAGCACGGATGATGACGATGACGACGACGATGATAAATGAAGAGTGGGTTGATAATAAGATAATTCGCTGTGGATGCTTCAGGTTGATTGATGGCTGAAGAAGTTGCTGATTAATGAAAGGACTCCGCAATGTAAAAGCAACCAAACAACCAAACAAATAAAACAAACATTTAAACAACCAACCGATCAACTAATCAAGAACTGGCCAACCAAACAACCAACCAACCACCCAACCAACCAACCAACTAACAAACTAACTGACCAACCAAACCAACAGCCAACCAACTAAGAACCAACCAACTAACCAGTAGCACGCGAGCATTTAAAAAAAATTATAGCTTTTTTGTGTGAACGATTGAAAAATATTTAACTTGTTTAAAAAAATTTGCACAAACCGCCAAAGATGTTAGATGCATGATAATAAGATACCAGAGTATGGGAAAGTGTGAGAGGAAGGGTTGACGAACAAAAAATGATGAAGAATGAAACTTGTGTAGAGACACACCTTCATAGAACATGACAAATCCACGTGAGGCCATTGTTGTTTCTGCTGTGACCATCGTAACCTCTGCTCGAAAGTCAGGAACTAAAACAATTTGTTTACCGAGGGGTCCACATTCGCTGAAGAGCACATCCTTGCTTGTTCTAACTTCCACTACGTCGAAACATTTGCCGGATCTTTTAACGTCTAGTTCAAAATCAGGAACCGTTATTTGAATGTACTGCCAGGGATTCAGTGAGATGGTTCGTGTGCAGTGACTGTCTCTTGTGTACTTTGAAGGGTAGTTCGGACTTATTATGGCTGCTAGGATGTTGTCGTTGTTAAGATTGAGAATGTTTTTGTTGGAGTTGCTCCTACTGCTCTTGTTGTTGTGGTTGTTGTTGTTGTGGTTGTTGTTTTTGTGGTTGTTGTTGTGGTTGTGGTTGTTGTTGTTGAGGTTGTTATTGATATTGTTGTTTAGGTGGTTGGGGTTGTGAGAAATGTGGTTTGTTGACAATTTGGTTGAACTTCTGAAGTTTTCGTTTTTGTGATCACTTGTTGTTTTTACATCGCGATGTTTTCTTTGTGGTGAAGAAGCTAATGACGATGATGATGATGACGATGACTGGAAAGGCTGTGGAAGAAGTAAATTCGAAGAAGAGGACGATGAGGGTGATTCAAGCAAAAATGAGGAAACGGATGAAGAAAAAAATGATGATGATGACGACGACAACGATGACCTAAAAGTTTCTGTTTCACCCATTATGCTTTTCAAATCTGGTTTTGTCGTCAGGATGAAGTAAGAATTTTTTGACAGCTCCAAATATGGCGGAGATGTGAGTGATGATGATGATGATATTGAAGGAGATGATGAAGATGATGATGACAACGATGATGATGATGACGTTGAAGATTTTAATAATTGTTCTCCGTGACATATGTTGATAATTTCTTTTTCTAAAAAATTAAAATTAAGATATTTACATTATTATCCTAAATATATCATGTTAATTTGTTTCCTTAGCATTGTATGGGCAAATTTTACTTTAAAATTTGTTTTTAAGATAATCTTAACTGTTTCAAAGAGAAGAAACAAAAAAATGGAAAAGACTATAAATTTTCCAGTGCATCTTACAAATATAACAATTTTTTTTTTCAAAATTTTGTGTTTCAGCGTAAAACTCTCCATTTCAAACTACATCCCAAATTAAATTTTTGCAAACAAAATTTTTTGATTCAATTCACAACCAACAGAACAAGAAGGAAATAGAAATTAAATAAAAAAAAGTTGCAGTTGATAAAACAAAATTACGTGCTTTTGTTTCAGAGGAGGAAATTTAAAATAGTTGAACAAACAAAACTTTTAAGGGAGCCAATTAAAATTTAAATTGAAAGTCCTACTTTGAAAGCATCGATATTGAAGGAGCATGAACTCATGAAGACCGCATGCATTCCCAAACAACTTCTCGCTAACCGGAAGTTGACAGAAACTATTTCCGGAACACAAACCATTCAAACGGAAATGAATATCAGTATCGCAGTTAAAGTTGTATTTAACCCCGCAGTAGATGGCAACTTCACTGTTGTTGAGGCCGAGTGTTGCGGAAATAAAAACAAGTTGGTCATCATTATGTGGGCAGTGGATGTTCAGCGTGTGTCGGCTGCAGACGTATATGGTGGCTGTGGTTGATGTGGCTGTGGTTGATGTGGCTGATATTGCTGATGTTGACGAATGTTGATTTTGTTGATGCTCTCGTTGACGGTGATAATAACCATAAAGTTGAGATTGTTGTTGCAGATGGTTATGTTCATGCTGATTGTTCAGTTGTTGTTGTTGTCGTCGTGAAAGTTGGTCGTATCGACTGTACGAACTTCCAATTTTGTTTGCCATTTTCTAAGTTTATATAAAAAATAAATAAACAAATAAACAGCATGTAAATTTGTTGAAGAAAACAACAGAGCAACATATTGCTGAAAAACAAGACTACCACCAACAACGACAGATCAAAATATCGTATAATGAATAGAATAAATCAACAACAACAATAACAACAACAATGACAACAATAATAACAACATATTGCTAAAAAACTGCGACACCTCAACCACCACCAACAACAAAAAAACATTTCGTGGAAGAAGACCACAGCAACAAGACAACATAATTTTGAAAGAGCCGCCCAAATGAGGCTCGTTGACATGATCGTAAAATTTGGAATCGAAATAACTTCATTGCAGAAACCTTTGCAATATTCATTGCAGAAACATTTGCACAGTAAATCCAATTTATCCTCAATGTTCTAACATTGATGTACGTTGAACGTCTAATGAACCGTAAACATTAACGGAGACGAACAAATTTTATTTTCCGATAAATCTCTAGCTCACGATTCAATAGAATTAATTCTTGGCGATGAAAATTTATAAATCTTCATATTGGATGACGCTCATTAGGTTAAGTTCGTTGCGAAACTTCGAAACGTACTTAAACAGCATCAGCGCGTGCGTTCTCATTAGAGCAGCGGCGTATTCAACGCTGGCCGGGAAGGAGTTAACTAACAACAAGTAATGTATTAAATATATTTCGTCAGCTATATTGCAAGGATCTGTTAACATATCATTGATGATGGAGCCACAACAAACGACGGCATGCAACTGTATCAGCAGCCATCAGGCAGCAACACTGATACACATACAATAAGATGCTGAAGAGTACATCAACATTCGACATACAACATAGACACCAAAATCGGAAAAACAACAGAACAACAGAACCTAACCCAACCAGAACAACAACCATAGGACCATGATCAAAACAACAACTACAACAACAACCACAGGAAAGTGATCAAAACAACAACAACCACGGCAACATGATCGAGACAACAACAATATTGAAGGCGGGGTGAAAATTTGATTACTGGATTGCATTGTGCAACTTTCATCATTACCATGAAGCCCTGAATTTTCTATGCGTTCGGAATTTGTATGTAATTGTATGTAACTTTCACACTTTGCACACAGTATAATTTTTCTACAAGAAGTCTTTTTTTCCAAATATTAACTTTTATTCATAAACGTATTATATATGCATACATTTTAGTCCGAAATTATTTATAAAAATCCTTGCGACAAGTTTGTAGTTTAACTGTTTCTCTAAATTGTGAACGTTGAATTTAAAATTGCTAATTATTGTTGAGTCACATCTTATAAAATATATTCAACTGTTAAAAAATATTTGTTTCGGCGACAATTTTTGATTGCAAGCGAAAATTTATCGACGTTACCCTCTGATTGAATTTACATGGTAGATTTCATATTCCATTGTTTTGTCAAATCAAACCAATACAAATAAAGTTAATGAATGATTTTAAACTTTAATTTCTTTATTTCAGACGACCAGTATAGTTTTTTAATCCTAGTGCAATATATCTGTTTAATGGCTCGCCCCGGTTTACGATCGTCTTCTCATTCTCACTTCATAATTTTTGTTAATGACTCATAGTATGCTAAATTTGCATTTGTTTTTTTTTTGGCCTTTTTCTCTGGAACTCTCCACCTTTTTTCTAAAACTATTTTTTCATCACTTATGAGATTCAGAGCAGATCTCAAGACTTATCTGTTTGTTAAATTCATGAAGGAGCGCCGTGAAACATCGTGGAAATGGTGTCTTATGAACTATTCGACCGAATGATTTAATTTGGATTGAATGAAGCATTTCAATCAATTTGTTGCTCAAATTAAAAAACAATCTGCTACAATAAAAATAATTTAGACAAAAAGCAATAAACCCTGCACCAAAATTTCGATCGTCGTTCTGTTTTTTAATCGACAAACTTGAGTAACTTTTTCTTTTTGAATTGCATCAAGTTTGTGGTTGACAACATTTTAATGCGGGCTTTCATTGAAAGTATGCGGCTGGGTCCTAATATGATGGCGGAGTAACAAGTGACAAGCCAGTGCCACATACGTTGATTGCAATCACCTTGAGTCTTCATGACTGCTACCATTTATCGATCGCGAGTGGTCGGGCCTTCGGCTTTGATTCAGTTTGAAACAATTACTTGCCATCTGCGACCAAAAACAATACATGGCGACTTATTTTTTATAGTTTATTACATATATTTTATTTAAAACGGTGTTTACATGTATGAAAAAGTGGAAAAAGTTATTTTATATATATATACATATAAACAATTAAAATTAATATTTTTCAAATTAGCCAACAAAATTTAAAAAAAATAGTTGGTCCTCCTCAATCCGCCACTGATCATCCAACAGTTTGAGTTTGCATTTGAATGTTGGTTGACTTGCTGCTGTAACTTGAATGACTTGTCAAGTGAATGGAAGACAAATTTAGAAGTTTTAACCACTTTATCTTTATAATAACAACAGGATGGTCCCAGTATTGAACCTTCAGGCACTCCAGATGTTAGTAACCCAATTTTAAGAAGGTCATAGCTAATGAAACTGTTGTTTGTCTTGAGCTTTGTTGTGCTTATCTTTGATGGTAACAGCTATTCCGCATCTGTTCCATTCATCTAATGGGTTATGCTGGACTTCATTTTGTTTTGCCCCTAACTCCCGGGAAACTCACTTTCTTCCTTGGCTGTCAGGTTTTGTCGGTCGTATATATATATATATATATATATATATATATATATATATATATATATATATATATATATATATATATATATATTATCACTTATAATAAATATCTCTCACAAGAGCTATCGAAAAAAGAAAAATAATAAACGAACAGTGAAATAATGTACATCCTATCAATAGACGATATGATACAATCAATTACAATCGTTCATCGCAAATAGATAAGTTTTCAAATTCTTTTTGAAATCAACAATGTTCATCTTTGACATTCTCATCGACATTGGCAGACTATTCCAGACGATTGGTCCCGACACTGCAATGTCTCTAGACGATGTCTGCAGCTGCGTAGTTGGTACAATCAACAAATTGACGTCATCTGATCGCATGCGTCTGCCAGTCGAAGACAGCGGTTTCTTTATGAATCTATCAGCCAGGTATTCTGGGAGTTGTCCGTTTATGGCCTTGTACATAATGACGCATATTTTGTAAAAATTCATTCGTTTCTTTACTGTTAGCCAATGGAGGCTATTCAGAATTGGCGTCACATGATCGTATTTTCTACCTCTAACAATCACCTTTGCAGCTCTGTTCTGAATAGACTGGAGGTCAGCGATAGACCTTTCTGGCAACCCATAAAACAGACTGTTGCAATAATCCAATCTCGAGTGGAAAAACGCATGAACCAATGATTGTGTTACAGTTTGATCCAGATATTTACTTATTCGGTATATTTGTTGAAGTTGTGCTGAACATGATTTAGATCGCGATTTTATGTGGTCACAAAGTTTTAATTTAGTGTCAAAAATACATCCCAAATTGGTAGCCTTCTTGCAAAATTTTATCCCATTATCTTCAATCATTATTGAATCAATTTTTACTTTTGATAGCTGCTGCCAGGTGCCCACTGGTAAAAACTGTGATTTATTTTGATTAAGTTTTAGACAATTTTTTGACATCCATGTGTCAACTTCAGCCAAACATTTTATTAGTCTTTCAACTGCACTTTCGAACTGATCTGGTTCACTGCTGACTATTATTTGAATGTCGTCGGCATATGCATGATAAGAAAAACCAAGAGTATCAATTACATTAAATACATCAGCTGTATACAGTATGAACAAAATAGGTCCAAGTATTGAACCTTGTGGCACTCCGGATGACTTTGTTTTTACACTAGACAGATGCCCTTTGAAAAATACCTGTTGAGTCCTTCCAGTCAAATAGGAGTCGAACCACTTGATAACAGTTCCAGCAATGCCAAAGTCGTGAATTAATCTGTTCAATAGAATTTGATGATCGACACAGTCAAATGCTGCACTCATGTCCAAAAATGCGAGTAGAGCAATATTCTGTTTGTCGATGGAGGCAAATAATTCGGACAAGACATATAACAATGCCGTCTCTGTAGAATGGTAACGTTTATATCCAGATTGATGAATCGGGAACAAATTATGTTTATTTAAATGATTTACAAGTTCACCTACTACGACACGTTCTATGATTTTGGAGATGAAACAAATGTTAGATATTGGTCTGTAGTTTTCGAGCCTATTAAAATTTGCGTTCGTTTTTTTCAAGATGGGTATCACAACCGAATGCTTGCAAGAAACAGGAAGTGCTCCAGCACACAAACATAAATTAACTAAACTTGTGAGAAACGAGATGAAGAGGTCTATATGTTTTTTCAAAATGTGAGTAGGAAGGACGTCTAACATGCAAGATTTAGAGGCAGATTAAGAACAATTTTTTTTACATCTTCTGAAACCACTGCAAGATTTGAAAACAAAGAGCCACTGTTTAATTTACATCCATCAAAAACTGGTTTGTCAACTACTTTGGTGTATCGTTTTATTTTGTTGATTTTTTCTTCAAAATGATCAATAAATTGAGAACAAGTGATGTCTACATGTTCCTGAGACGATTCATTATCATAATTTTTGCAAATGATTTTATTAATTACTTTCCACAAATTTTTAGGGTTTTCGTCGTTTTCCTTTACCAGTGTTTTCCAATAACAATTTCTTTTTTTAGAGAAACATTTAGTTTTATTTCGCAAAGCAGCAATCCACTCACTCCGACAGGCAGATGATAAATATTTTCTATATTTCCTTTCTTTCTGTCGACAAAGTTTTTTAACTGCTCTGCATTCATCATCAAACCAAGGAGTTATCAAATCGCATCTGTGTTCTATAAAGTGAAGAGGCGCAACTTTATCAACAATTTTCTTCATCTCATCATTGAAATGTTCAAATTCAAAATTTACGTCGTGACTCTGACATG